TGGCTTGCTGATGCGTTGGTTGTGGACAATTGAGGAGTTTATCCAATGTATTGATGGGGAAAGGAATAAAATATTGGCATGGCCCCCAGAGGATCAGCGGAGAGGACCTCCCCCTTGTACCTGGTGTTGCCTTGCTCAGGTCGCGTCCTCACTGTCTTGCTTTCCTGTGGCCTGCATGAGGGGAATGTGGCTTCTGTGTTAGCTGCAGGTGTGTGTTAGAGGAGGGGATGGAGAAAGGAGTGTCAGCACCAAGGTCAAGGTCATTGTCGGGCTCTGTACGGAGCATAGTATAAGACAGAGAAAGAGGAAGAGCACAGCAACGGATTCCCAGAAGATTCCTTGGGCTGAGGAGACGATTTGATTAGAGTCTCTGGCAAAATGAGTTTCAGATTAGATTTTTGTTGACCCCTGCACTACTCCCACTCTTCCATACCCTGCCCCGCCCTGCACCCTGTGTATGAGAGCCTGGCTCTTCTCTGCCCCAGTGGCCACTGCCCAGGCCCTCCTGGAGCCCCTGCCCTGACTTCCGCTGTCTTTCCTGTTGCTCTGGAGTAGAAACTGAAAGAAAGAGGGGAGGTGGGCAGAATTTACAGGACTTACAAGAAAAGAGAAGGGGACTCGATGCACCCTGGCTTGTGGTGTGGTGTGTGTGTACTACGTGTGTGGTTTGTTGTGTGTTGTGATGTGTGTGTGTTGTTTCTGTTGTTGTTGGAAGGTGACGGGAGGCAGTGCCAGGGGAAAGGAATGACGAGCAGATCAGTCCCCACATCAGGAAGATGGGTGTCTGGAAGAGACCCCACAGCACATCTGCAGAGCAGGAAGCCTAGGCAATGTCCAGAGAGGGGCATGTGTGCAGGAGACCGGTGCTGGTGTGTGGACATTGTAGCCATTCTCCAATTCTCCAATTTTGTTTTGTGAAGGCAGATCTCCTCCATTCTTAAGTCACAGTCAGTTTCCAGAAATTGTTTATTTCTAAGCACTATCAGTCAAACTCTCCATTCCTTTCTGCTTTTAGAGTTTGAGTGAAATTGATTTGTGCTTTTTATTTTAATGCAAAAAAAAATAATAATCCTGTTCCCTCTGGCTTGGAAATTCTGGGCGTGGGTTTTCTCTCTCCTTCCTCCTCTCTGACCTGCTGTCCCTGGTCACTCATCCACACCAGTGGTGATGTGAGGGTGGGGAATCAAGAGAACCATTTTCGTGTGATTTTTCTCTTCACTATGTATGATGCAATGTAAGAAAAATTTCTTTTTTCCCGACATTGGTGTTTGTAAAGACTTTGCAAAGAGATGCGAGTTGGAGAGACTGCGTGGGTGAGAGAGAATGTGTTGTGGGTTTTTGTTATCATTATTATTTACTAACCTTTTATTCAAGGACTGTGATGGAAGATCGACAAAACAACTCTCATCCCATAATCAATTATAGCTGGAAGACAATAAATAGCTATTCAGTGTTTTTTGTAATGTTCTGGGAAAGAAGGGCGTATTGACTGCCTTTAAAGTTAGGGGCCTTTCCATGGATACGGGGTGGGCAGTCATTATTGGTTCTTCTAATCCAATAATCTCCACGAGCTTGGTGTATGAAGACAAAAATAATAATAATAAAAACAATAATTTACTCTTGTATTAGCTGTTAAGGTTTATAGTAACCCACTAACATCTGCATCATGAAATAGCATTCTTTCAGCGGCTCTCTTGTATTATCATTTTCCCCATTTTACTTAGAAGGCAACCGAGGTTAAGGTTTGGGTTTTCTTTTCCCCCCCAAGTTCTGATTTCATCCATTAAATCCAAAGCCTTGGACATATTGACCTCTATAAGCTTTAATTTCTTTATCTTTAAAATGAGGATAAAGGTGTTTGTTTCTGGAGAAGACTGAGATCCTATATGTGAAGTGCTTAGTGTTCAATATAGAGCCATTGTTTTTATGCCAGGTGACATCCACAGGCATCACCTAGTCCTAGGCTCTCT